CCGCCTCTGCACGTGCTGCGACCTCCCCTCCTCCCTCCCCCATCACCGGACGCTGACCCACTGCCCCAACTGCTCTTCCTACCACGTGTGTCCCGGCCGCCCCTGAATCCAAGGAACTCCTCGACTTCCTCTCTCCGCCGCCTCAACAACCACCTCTCCGGCCTCAACCTCGTCCACGCCGAGTTCTCATGCACCGAACCCCACACTGCCAAGCGAGTCATACTCAGACTCATCTGTACGAAACAGAGAATAGGGAAAAGAAAGATGGGTTTTTGAGGGGCTCCGATAATAGAATAGGGGTTTGTTTTTCTTGTTAGGATTGGTAGTGTTTTGGTGATTAAGTCGATTAGACTTAGTCATGGTTTAATTTAGTTGTTGCTTATGTTAATAATGCCCTGGATTATAGGGCTGTAACTAAGCTTTGAATCATTTTTGAATCATTCTTGTAACAGATTTACCATGTTTTAAGGTTGTGTGAACGTGGTTGCATTTTGATATCATTCCTGTTTGTTAGGTTGCTATAAAGCCACAATATTTCTCATTCAATAGAGAGCTTTTGAACTCCCAGATTGCAAGTGCTCTGTGTTTAGGTTCTAAGTCCCTGACAAGTGGTATCAGAGCTCCATCACGGGGCTTGATCGGGAGTGAAGAAACAACAGATTTCTTAAGAGAAAGAGAAAGAGAGACAATGGCTTCATCTTCAGAGGCAAACTTTATGTAGCCAGCAATCCCAAAATTTGATGGCTACTATGATCACTGGGCAATGATGATGGAAAATCTTCTTCAAACCAAGAAGTTATGGAGCATGGTGGAAGAAGGAATCATGGAGCTAAAAGGAGTTGAACCAACAGAGGGTCAGCGTAAGACAATTGAGGATCAAAAAGACAATTGAGGATCAAAGAGAGAAGGATCGCAAAGTCAAGAACTATTTGTTCTAGGCTATTGATTGCACAATACTAGAGACCATACTCAACAAAGAAACGACCAAGAGTATTTGAGACTCTATGAAGCAGAAATATCAAGGGAGTACAAGGGTGAAGAGGGCTCAATTGCAAAGACTAAGTAGATAATTTGACGTGTTGCAGATGAGAGAGGGTGAAAAAGTGGATGAGTATTTTGCTTGTCCACTCACAATTGCCAACAAGATGAAGTCTTATGGGGAGAACATGAAGCAGGTGGTGATTATTGAGAAAATACTGAGGTCCATGACCACAAAGTTTGACTATGTGGTATGCTCTGTTGAAGAATCTAACAATTTGGATACTTTGACTATAGATGAATTGCAGAGCAGTCTATTGGTGCATGAACAGAGGATGAATGGGCATACAAATGAAGAACAAGTTCTCAAGGTCAGTCATGAAGATAGATTTGGATACAGAGGTAGAGTCAGAGGTGCATTTCGAGGAAGAGGAAGAGGCAGGGGCAGGCAACAGTTTAAAAAGGCACTAATAGAGTGCTACAAATGCCACAATCTAGGACACTTCCAATATGAGTGTTCCAAATGGGAAAAGAATGCCAACTATGCTGAGCTCAATGAAGAAGAGGAGATGTTATTGATGTGCTATGTTGAATTCAACAACTCGAAGAGAGATGAAGTGTGTTGTGGGTCCCTTTGTTTTGATGATGATTTACAAATAATTTACTTCTAATGTTATTTGTCTAGTATTTTTTTTTGTATTTATTCTAGGCAAACAATATGTTGGAAGATTGATGGAATCGAGCATTCACGATCATATTCAACGGAGGTTGGAAGGAATATCTGTATGAAGCCTTGCAATTCAAGTTGAAGATCCAAGTTCAAGCTTCATCCGCAAGTTTACCAAGTCAAGCTATATTGAAGACCTTCAAGCTTTGGTATATAGTTTATAGTGTTTGTTGTATAGGTTTATACTTGTGTGTTAATACTTTAAGATCATATATTAATCACACACACATATTTGTTGATTTTGTTGATTTTATCAAAATATAGGTATTTTTAGGAAAATATTATTTTGTTTGGTTATAGACTTTAATATCAGTTTATACATACTTTATTAAGTCTATAAAATTACTTTATAAAGTTTTAAAACATGGTTTAGTCAAAATAACAAAAAACAAGTGTTGATGTATTTTCATGTTTTGGACTATTTTGAATAATAATGATATTTTACAAATGTGAAGTGCAATTCCAAAAATTATTTTTTAACATGTTCATTTATATGTTTACAATCATTTTTCAAAGTTTTATAACATTTGGAATTTATTTGATATTTTTAAAGGCACTTCAAAGTTTAGTTTTACTGTTTATTTCAGGCTGATATTGTGTTATCAGTCGACTGATGAAAATGTCTGGAATCATTAGAAAATCTCACTTTCTTTTCAGTCAACTGATCAGTCGACTAATGAGGTCATTAATCAACCGATGAGATCATCAGTCAACCGATGAGATCATCAGTCGACTGATAAACTTACAATGGCTAGTTTTTGTACAATTTTTAGATTTTCGGTTTTTAACCAGTTTACAAAATAAATTATTTCTACCAAATAGAAAGTGATATTTATAAAAAAATTTCTCTAACATGTTCACATACATGTTTAGAAACTTCCCTAAAAAATTTATGCTTTTTGGAGTTGATTTACTATGTCAAATTGATTTATAAGATCAGGTGTTTTAGCAGTTTTCAGAAACTATAATATCTGTGTTCAAATAATTATTTCTCACAAATGGGAAGTGATATGTAAGAAATTCTTTCTCTAACATGTTTTTATACATATTTATATACTTTACTCAAAATTTCATGATTTTTGAAGTTTATTTACTAGTTTTAATTGATTTTACAAAACTAGATACGCAAAATTCTAGAACTCTAAAATTGTCTGTTTTTATTCTGGTCGACTGACCTGTCGACTGATGAGGTCATCAGTCGACATATCAGTCGACCGATGGCATGATAACGACTAGCTTCTCCAGATTTTTAGTTTCCGTTATTTTATCTTTTTTTGATGTTTTCTCTTGGTTTTTGGGGTTGTTTCATGAGCCTATATATACCCCATATCCTCCAACTTCTGAG